AGAAAGGTGCCACTAGGAGTTCTAATTTATTAGAGCTCATCCACACTGATATTAGTGGTCCTTACTCTATCACTGGCATAACTGGACATAACTCATTTATCACTTATATTGATGATTATTCTCGTTATATGTACTTGTATCTCATTAAGGAAAAATCTGAATCACTTACAACTTTTAAAGATTATAAAACTGAAGTTGAAAAACAACTTGATCGTCAGATAAAACTTGTAAGATAAGATAGAGGAGGTGAATATTATGGTAGACATACTGATGTGGGTCAAGCTCCTGGTCCATTTTATGAGTTTTGTAAGGGCCAAGGGATCGTGAACCAATATACTATGCCTGATACTCCTCAGCAGAACGGTGTTGCTGAGAGAAGAAATAAGACCCTAATGGACATGGTACGCAGTATGTTAGCCAACTCAGGTTTACCTCTATTTCTCTGGACCGAGGCCTTAAAAACAGCCGTTCATATACTCAATAGGGTTCCTTCTAAAGTTGTCCCTAAAACTCCTTATGAACTCTGGACATGAAGGAAACCGAGTCTAAGATATATGAAAGTATGGGGTTGTCTTGCTGAAGCTAAACTTTATAATCCCTTCTTGAAGAAACTCGACATGAAAACTGTAACTTGCTACTTCATTGGTTATCCTTCTCACTCAAAGGGTTACATATTTTATTGTCCTTCCCACGTCACTCGCATTGTAGAAACCAAAGATGCTCATTTCCTTGAAGATTTTAAGGTCACTGGGAGCAGTGAAAACCCTTATGATGAATTGCTAGAAGTACAAGACGCGGGGGGGAGAGACTTGTGGATTACTTTACCTCCAATTACTCCTCTTGTACTCAATGCCAATCCGCAGGACACTGCACCACCTCCTACTCCAAATGTACCTGGAAATGAAGACACCTCAAATGATCACCATCAAGACAATGCCGCCAATACTCAACCTGAAAATTTGCTCAGGAGGTCATCTAGGTCTAAAAGGCATACTAACTTTGATGATTATATTACCTACCTGACTGAAGCAGAAATGGATGCTGGAAAGTTTATTGATCCTACCTCTTATAATGAAGCCATTAACAGTGATCAGTCTTCTGAATGGAATAAAGCAAAACTGGACCCGAATGGAAACATTGAACGCTACAAAGCGAGATTGGTTGCAAAGGGCTACACTCAGAAAGAGGGAATTGACTATCAAGATACCTTTTCTCCCGTCTCTCGAAAGGATTCATTAAGGATCGTTATGGCCCTTGTAGCTCACTTTGACTTAGAGCTACATTAGATGGATGTCAAAACCGCTTTCCTTAATGGCGATTTGGATGAAGAAGTGTTCATGAAACAACCCGAAGGATTCAAATCTGAAGGTCAAGAGCACCTAGTCTGTAAGCTAAAGAAATCCATATACGGGTTGAAGCAGGCATCACGTCAATGGTACCTAAAGTTGCATCAAGTCTTGAAGTCAGAAGGTTTCATAAAAAATCAAGTGGATCAATGCACCTACCTCAAGATGAGTGGGAGCAACTTCACTATACTTGTCCTTTACGTAGATGACATTCTATTGGCAAGTAATAGTTTAGACATGTTGCATGAGTCCAAGCGCTTACTCTCGCGTAATTTTGACATGAAAGATCTCGGAGAGGCTTCTTATGTTATTGGCATCGAAATACACCGAGATAGA